ATTGAAAAAGTATTGAAGTTCTATCTCAATGAGGAACTGATTTCTCTGTTCGAATGACATTTTGAAACTAACAATCTGATCAATAGTTATTTAGGGTACTGATAGTGACCATAATAATTATACAAAAATTCTATAGAATTTTAAGATTAAGCGATTGAAATAGGGCTAAATAAGTCTGAATAAGAATTAAATACAATCACCATCGGTACCTATTCTCAAAGCTCTGGGCGCCATGATGAAAGGCGATGACGTAACGATATTGTGCCCTAGTTCGACGTTACATCTTAGCAAACGCTGGGTTAATGTTGTCGCGTACCGATACTGTAGCATGCTACGCAACACGATACGTGTAATGTCTAGACAGATTGGAATTTGTTTGCCCTTTCTCTCTTTAACTGGCTAGATAGAGAGCTAGCTTACAGGGCTCATCAAACAATATGCTAAGAATGGTAATAACTATTTCAAATGCATCTGATAGTTCTTTATCACTCTTATAAGAGGGGTAGGGTAAATAAAGTGTGAACCTTAAGCCACGAAGAAATAATAAACGAAGAACTAAGTAAGTGCAACACTATTCAGATTCAGAAATTAAAGGAACTTATATCTAAATAAACTTTCCTACTTCGAAAAAGCATTTACTTAAATTAATCATACACCACACCAAGTGCTATAAAGAAAGAATCCAACAACACCCAAACACTCTGGCTCGGTCACTAATGGACAATCATAACAAAACGCGACGATTAAAGCGCAAAATACCTCAAGACCTAATCCAACCACAGTAATTATAACTACTGTTTAAATAATGAAGATTTGGCACAGGCCACATGCTGGGCGAGTCTGCGTTAGCACAAACCGACATACTTCTGAATGTCCCATGAAGGAGACAGATTGTAGTATTCAAAAAAAAAAACTTAAATTAAATCCACAGATAAAATTTAACACTTAATATTCCACAAGACAACTACCACAATAAGGTTTAAAATTACGTTGCCATACGCATAAAAGTGAACCGCGATCCACCTGTACTTTGATGACATCATATAACAAAAACTGGTTTTCGAGATGGTCTCCGGTCAGACGATGAATGTAAAACCAGAAATACCACATCCAGTGGACGCGGTGTTACACTAGCTGGCTTCTATGTCTTGACGACGGCGACGACAGAGGTCCTAGTGCAACTTTGTATTACCTAAACGCGATCGACAAGTTTGTGACGTTCGGCGCTCTGATTGGCGACTGCAAGTTAACCAGTCAATCAGAGGGCTGAACTTGGTAACGTTTCGATTGTACTGTGTCCCTGTTTCAAGATCACTTGAACCATCAGACTGGTTCAGAGGACTTCTAGTACATTTTGAGTTCATTAATACTTGTGTTGGTACAATGGAGAGATATTTTAATCGCAGTTTTATTTCTGCTATATGGAAATGGCTTTATATTCATTTTAATTTATGCAAAATGCTACACTTTTGCCCGTGTAATTCTCAACTAATGTCCAAACACACTTCCTACCTAATTTTATCATAACTAAATACAATTTAAGACAGGACTAATAAATAGATATTCTTAAAATATAAACATGAACAAAGCATAATACAAGAATAAATTGCATAAAAACCGAACCTTTTGTTAAGTCAATGATACACACTTCGAGCAACTTTCTTTATCAATAGCAGCGATCTAACTCACAAAACGGAGGAACAAAAGCTAACAGGCGTTACGTAATTCTAATATAATCCATCTCAAGTCTCAACAGCATTAAGAGAAAGGTACCGATTCAGTAGAACACACGTTTTGTAACAATGTTACTTTTATATAACTGTTTTATGCCGTATCTTTAGCTAGGAACATGGACGCGACTTTGTTTGCAATATTCCTTAGGATATAATTCTTTTAAAAACTATATTACAGCAGCATATAGTTTTTTATCCCTGAAGACCAGTCAGAGGTGCACTATACGGCATTAAAACTCAAAAAACTCAAAAGCATTTATTTCAATTAAACCATAATTTGGTACTTTTGAAACGTCAACAAATATGAAATAAATAATAGTCTGTCAGTCTGTCCGTCAGTGAAGCTAGGCATTTAATGCCACTGTACAATGTAACACCCAATTTTCACTATTTATGTTATGAGTCCCATGTAATAGGGGTGAGCCTATTGGCATATACGGGCGCAATTCCAGACTCCGTGCTACCACTGCTTTACCCGATACTTTCCCCGACCCTATTATCAAACCTGAGACCCCTTTCAGCAGTCTTCGAGCAGTCGCACTTGCGACACACACAGCCAAAGAGGCAGTCAAGTTTTTTATAAACTACGTTTAAAAAACCGCCTTCAAGCCCTCTTTTGAAGTCAGTTAATTAATACACTAAAACCTTCTCCTAAGTGTAACAAACACGATTCCCGCACGGAGCAACTCTTTGTGTGATCCACAAATTGTTGTTTCCGGTCTGGGTGTCATGTGTATGTGATATTGAATGTTTCTAAACCTACAACACAGGAGAAAATCCTAGCGTGGGGCAATGTTTGTTTAAAAGAGGATGAGAAGACTGCACGGTTGGTGCGGTGGCTGGGCAACCGGCTGCCGTGCAACGTGTCGCGGGTTCGATTCCCGCACGGAACAACACTTTGTGTGATCCACAAATTGTTGTTTCGGGTCTGGGTGTCATTGTGTATGTGAACTTGTATGTTTGTAAAACGCACCCACAACACAGGAGAAAATCCTAAAGTGGGGTAATGTTTTTATTAAAAAAAAAAAAGAAGAAGACGAGAGGATTCCGGTGTAACAAACAAACAAATATAAACTTACACTATTTGTAATGTAATGTGGAAACAACCTACATCAAAACATTTTCTCATCTTATATAAATTGACGAAAGATGTATAATATTCTGTATATAGCTTATTATAAGTTAAGTAAACATTGGCAAATAAATTCTTCAGTACGTAACCTAATCCTTTTTCTAATTATAAATAATTTATTGCACTATTGCAAAGGAATTCCTAGATAAATGTAATTATAAAATAAACCGCAATACTGTCCATTGCAAAAACTTGGAATTAAAAACTAATATTACAAACTCATTTATTCCAGTTAGGATTAAAAATAGATATCTATGCAACCACGCTTTGCATTGCTAATTAAAATCTTAGTAATGTGATTTTATGCACAATATTTTTATACTTGGATACTTTTTTAAATAATTGTACAGGTTGAATTAAAGTTCATAGAAAAATATATTGAACACGCCATTCTTTATTTGGGCTGCAAGTCTCGATAATTATAGCAACAGGAATTGGTCTAGCTAAGTCGGACACATTAATGCATTTTGAACTATATGCTAAACAGGTAAGGTTGAAATAATTAATAAAGAAATTCGTAACTGGATGACAGGCTAGAATTATAGGCCTGGTTTTATTAGGGGGGGGGGACATCGAATTACTGCTCCCGCCTAGGTGAGGCGGGAGGGAGTGTCATACTCTAACTGACTAAAAACCACCCCGTTCCTTCTCCTGCACGTCGAGCCGGAGCCCCGGTAACCCGTTAGGTTCTTCACGAATAGGCCTGGTTTAGGATGACGCTGATTAGTAATAGAATGATATTTAATTGTAGATAATAATATCAAAAGAAGATATTGTGCTGCTGACCCCAAATAGCTTAAACTAAGGACAGGAAGAAAAATAATAAATTAAGTAAACAGAAACTATTTGAAAGTAATTCTAATATAGTAACAGCAGTAGTTTCAATTGGTTCCGTATTTATTATTCCGTCTTTGTCAAGAGATCGTACGGAAATAACTCCGTTCTAATTGAGAGAACAAATGCTATGCATTACAATGTGAAACGTAAGATCACTTACTGTCTATGCGTCCCTGGTACACGACTGATTCATCCAATATTATATTGAGAAGATAAATGAAGAATATTCTTAGTCATTTGAATTATTAGTTAAATTTAATTAGAATACATGGGCTAAATATTGATACCCGTTTGACGAACACAGTGTATAGTTATATCATAATTACATTGTCCTCGGACAATCCAAACAGCAAACTATGTAACTAGAGAATTGTATTGTGAACCTGATTGAAAAAGAGTAACCTATGGAGTTTCTTGCTCGTTCTTCTCCATAGGAATTTACACCTTGGAATGAGCAAATAGCTTCACTTTTAATTTTATTGTTGACCTTCAAAAGTGCCAGTCTGGTCTAATTGATATAAATGATTTTGACTTTTGATTTTGACTTTGACTATAATATATTTATTACTTTTATGATAAAAATTCAATATTCCATAAATAAATAAATACTTGGTTTCCTTCATAAACTTACTGATCATCATTAATTATTATGTTTTCGGCTTACTCAAGTCACTGTTTGAGACTAACAGCGCGACAGTCGCCATGTGGATGGTCGCGGAATGTTGCTCATGAATATGAGCCGCTAGCATGGCTTGAAACTAGTCGAGTTCCTCGTCAAACAATTACGTGAGTGAGCCGAAAACATAATAATTAATTTAGTGTATCACTGATCATCATCAAAAACACATATGACTTGTAAAATAAGCTTGAGGACACGCCGGCGCCGTATTAAAGCATATTGCTATTTAACACAGATATTGTATATAATTATCTCGCGACCCACTTCCTATAATACTGCAAGTTGTTAGAAAGACAATACAATAATAAATAAGCCGTGTTTATTACTCTAAATAAATCGTGCAAAAAGTAATGTCTAGTATATCCTTACGGAACATTAGTTCTGTTCTCCGCTAACATTTCCGTGTACTTAAACAACAATATGGTTGTTTTACTCTCGTGTAGAAGTTTTTGCCTCGAATAATAGACGACAGCACGTTAAGCTATACCAAACTGTCTCATTTCTTTAATGAAAATTATCCCTTATCGTTTTGCAATAAAGTCGTGAATTTGAAGTCAAGAAGCTTGACTTGCTCGTATCTTGACCACGTTGATACTGCAGATAAAAATACAAATTAAATCTAGTGACTGACCTGAACGAGAGCATCCATGGCCAGGCGCTCGATGTCCACGTTGTAGAAGCTGAGCTGCGGTACATGCCGCCGCCTCGGACGAATGTCATCGTAATACGCCACCACATCATTGATCGACACTACGGGACAGTCATCGGCTACACTACAGCCACTGCTCACCCCATCCACGCCACTGTCAGAGTCACCTTCACCCCCAAAACCTTCCTTCGAATCCCTACGATCCCCATAGCTTTGTTCAGACCCCTCCTGGTAACCAGACTCAATCATCTCGTCTGGAGCAATGATGTCGGGGATCTTTGTCGTCTCGTAATCGTAACCGAGGTCATCGTCCACGGGGTCGATTTCGAGAACGTCGGCCATTTTTAATTTATTTAAAACGCGAGTGAAAATTTGTGGTTTTATCGTTCACTGACTACTACATGCTGGTACGGGGGACTTGATCACTGGTAGCGCCCTGTGGACAAAACGAAATAATAAGTAAAACATTTAACGCAATAATATATTTTACACATTATTTAAGCCAAGCAAAAGCACTGCAAAATATTTTAGAAGGACAAAGGGCTGACGTCGAAACTTTTAAGGATGTTGATTGACAATCGTAAAAATAAATTCCGCATAATTACACGCATGAATAAATCAATCACACGGCTGCCAAAGTTCGTTACATAGGACATAATATCGACAAACAGTAATAACCAGTTTTAAAATGATGTCACGAGACTTCGAGATCTGCATAAAAAAGTCGCAATCGGCCACAGGCAAATATCGACGTATCATAACAAACCACACCCACATTTGTCCAATGTTTGCCAAATGAACCAATACGCCAACAGATAAAGCGAAGATGACCCGAAGATGACAAATTAGGTCCAATTCAAAGTCAATTCGTTGCAAATTCTTCGTAAGTAAACGGAAACATCCAATCCATTGTGGAATTGGGAATTAATGTTTGCAGACCGTGGAAATGCAGAGCAGTTGTTCTAGAACCTGTACCTGTTACTTCAGAAAACAAATATCATGTTCCAAGAAGCAGATTGTTCGAAAACGATTTATTTATTTTACACAGTTTAAGCATTGCTTTTGAATAAAGAAGTACATAATAAGAAGAAAGATAAATACACACGTTTAATCCTATAAAACATACCGAACGACATTTTAAAATACAAATACTTCAGTAGCAAAAACCTAGACGATACGTAAAGCGTTAGCAATCCAGAGGAAGGTCCTGTCACAAGTCCTTTGAGATATACAGAAGAGACTTAGTCTAAAAATGCACAAGACCAAATAAAGCGAAAACTACTGAGTTTATTTTATCAAAAGCGACAAAGATAATCGGATTCGAAGGGCAGAGGAAGAGGAGATCAAAGGAATAAGGAAAACATTGGAAACTTTGAAATAGGTTAAGCTGGGAACAGTGTGATCAATAGTACGAGTGTCCTGATTCTTATCTTACTGTAGCGATATCTAGGGGATACTGCTCTGTTCTAACTACGTAAGAATAAAAAAACTAAATTGCGAAACAAATCCAATTAAACTGTTCCAAAACAGTCACAAAGGAAGGCCTTAAAAAATCAACTTTACTATCATTTTCTTCAAACTTAAAAATCTACTAACGTCATTCTTTAACCAACATTTCATTAGATACAGTCACTTTCTAAACAAAATCTGTTTAAATGAAACCACTGAACAGATGGTGTTCGCTTTAACAATACAATAGCTAAACAAACACACAATAACAGACTGAGAATGTACAGCACACAGACTTGCTAAGTAAAACGACAAACCATCATAAAAATCTTCCACAGCCTGCAACAGTTCACATAATATATATCACAAAGCAATTTGTAGTACATAACAATCAACAATATTGAATATTTCTCATTATAACTTATTTGTGTAATAAAAGAAGGTCCGACTATGTAAACAAAGCTTATATTGACGTCTGCAATAGACAATTGACATTTAAATCTGAAGAGTATTCTTCCATGGAGATCTTTATACTATTGTGGGAGTCTTTATATAGTTGAGTGGTGGCGCCACCTATTTTTATGAAGTTGTATGCAATCATAATGGTGCAATGAGCGACAATGTCTGTTAGAGTAAATTTTATTAAAAATTTGTTTATTTATCAACATTGCACTATTTTTTACGGGAGACCTATCAGACCTGGAATCGTTTACGTCCTTACTTAGGTCTTACGGCTTCATAACTACTTAAATCGATTAGTTCAAATCAGATCCTTAATCGTCTCATAACAACTTCTACAAACCGACAACATTAACAAAGAACAACAAAAACCCCATTTATTTACAACGAAACGTAAACAAACAAAAACCAGAACATTTCTACAACTAATTTCACTACCAAATAAAAAACCCAAACAACGGTCGTAGTACTTTCAATTTCATCTGACCACTACTATCACTATTCATAGTCAAACAGTGTCACTTTCGCTGTTCACCGCAACAAGTGACCTCGTGCGGGGTCAATGACACACTCCGCAAGATTTGGGACGATCCGAAGTTCTTGTAGAACTCATCAATGGGCTATGACGAACTTAAACATGTTTTGAGGTTATGAGGAAAATAATCTTCACACTTATTATCCTAGTAAGGAAAATTTGTGACGTGAAAGTTTGTATGTTTGTTTCGCGATTATGCAAGAACTGCTTTACGGATTTTGATAATTTTTGGCGTATAGATAGATTAGTATCTAAATTACTGCTGCTAATTAATAAAAACGTGTGATTACGTGTGCATATTTTGACGGAAGTATTGGAAAGATATTATTTTTCCGTTATGGAATAGAAGTTTGTGGTTGACATCTGGTCAAGTTGTGTACGACTCGATTGTGGATTATGAGGTCACGAGGTCTCATAGTACCGCGGAGTGGGTTACTCTCATTGAGGTGGTTTATGTCGTCATTGACACATGTGATCACTATGCGGTCTGAAGATTTTTTAGTAAAAAAAAACATGAGTATAAAATATTCCGTGTACATACATACAAAAACTTTAGCAGTTTAGTTTATTAACTTCAAAATACATTCACATTCTCCAAAAAGATCGTGATAAAGTCACCTTTGGAGGTATATCTGGATCAAACAACGTTTCTCTCTCCTCTTATCTAATATTTTAATAAGTTATAATTAGCACATAAGTAAATAAACCTGATATTTTACACGTTTTTGAACTCCTGTCTTCTTATAGCTAATACATATTCGTTTATTAAGTAAATCTATACTTAGGTGAATGAAATCATTAAGTATATGTTAAAACAAGTTATGTTATACAATACTTGAGGTGGGGATGATTATAATGCGATCGGACGGAATTTAGAAAGGTTTGCTAATTTAGAATTACCTCAAACGTAGCAAGCAACCTCGATTTTCTTAGCATTTTATGTAATAACTTCCATGTATGCAAGATTATAAGCTGTTAAGGATATTGGATGTAGATGGTGTTTTTTATGGAATAAGACGGTAAACGAGCAGACGGATCACCTGGTGGTAAGCAATCGGCACCGCCATGGACACCCGGAACTCCAAAAACGCTACAAATGCGTTACCGGTCTTTTGTTTGGGGATTATGAGTTTGAGGACTGTTGGGAATTCTGGGATCGGGAAGAAGGGTCATTGGTAATTAGACTTCCAGTAACCTCACTCACATGACGAAACACAACGCAAGCGTTGTTTACGTCGGTTTTCTGTGAGGCCGTTGTATTACTCCGGTCGAGCCGGCCCATTCGTGCCGAAGCATGGCTCTTCCACAGTTGTGTGCAAAATTGTGCCTTTTAAGCTTCTTATTAATTTGTTAGTATTATTTACTAGTTCCATAGTTTTAACTGGTTCTTTGTTGATCAGAAGTAGATATAAATTATCTCATATCGGATCTAGAATGATTCGATTCCAACGACATGCAAATTTTTTCTAAAGATAAGATAGGAATACAAATTTTATATTATTTACGTCACAAAATAAACGTAAGAAATTATTAATGACTTACGAATAACAATTAAACTTTGTCTTTTCATTATTATGTATGTATGACTGTTGTGGTATGACAAATACACGATTCCCAAAGAAACCGCAATTGCAAACTGACCACAAATTAATTGCAGTTAGTAAGAACTGCAATAATATGTTTTTAAAGCAGAGACGCCGCAGTGCTCTATGATAAACTTTAAACTTTTAAACTGCGGACTCCAACCTGCCTGGGAAGAACCATCGACCTCGTAAGATAAGGTTCATAATCCCGCGGTGGACTGTCAATAACGTCAATGCCTAGTCTCTGTGCATTGTATAATAAATGGTGGTGTAACAGTGTAGTGGTAATTAATGAATTCAAGTTTGCCATCATCATATCCATAGATATCCCCCGCCTAGAGACATGCCTGTAAATTAATAGGTAATGCATTTCTTATGACTTTTTTATACATTAAAAATAAAACTGCCTCGTTGACCGAGAGATCGCAAGTGCGACTGCCGGACAAGGTGTTTCGGGTTTGATTACCGACGGTTTTTAAAAAAAATCTCAATATTAGCACGGAGTCCGGAATTACATTGTAATATGCCACCCATTTTTCACTATGCCACTGTACACAGTACTGTACAGTGGCATTAAATACTATAATGTGCACCTGTGTCTACCACTTCGGGGATAAAAAGGGATGATATTATATGTTATGTAAAAACAAGTGCATATTTATCAGTAATCAACAATCTTAAACCACAGTTTCCTTTAAACCTATTGTTCGAATCTAATAAAAGTTATATGAACGCGATCCACGGAAGTTTCGCCCGGGGTGTAGTATGGCGCACTTGTTGCGTGGCTCAGGAAGCCAACCTTGACACAGTAACTGGGTCACAACTGCTTACACCCTCTGTGTACGTGGCTCTATAGATATATATTATTAGGGGAACATCTGTTTGTACGAGATATTGTGTGTATTGAAGATAAAGACTTATCGTTGAGCAAGGATTTGTAGTTATGACAATTTTTTTAAATAGCTTTTGTTTTTCGTGATTTTAAAAAAGGTTAAATATGATGAGGCCACTGTTTTTCAATTGAATAATAATAATCTTTGATATGGTTTGTATATTAATTTGTTATATTTGATGTCCGACGTTTGACCACTATCTCGCCTGGTGGCAAGCGTTGATGCGGTCTACGCTGGAGCACGTTGTCTCATAAGCGACCTATTCACTCACGCCTTGAAAACACCCAAGTTATACCCTTCAGGAAATACAGACTCTGGCAAAGAATTCCACTCCTTCGCAGTAATAATAATAACTATTTTATACTTTAGATACCTATGCTTTGTATTAAGATGTATTAATGATGTTATTTTTACTATAGTGGT